AGAATTCCGTAATTCAAACAGAATATCTGCTGTTGGGGTTTCACAGTAACGGAAGATATGCGAAAATGCTTGGTGGTCTGGCAGCACTGTGCTCGCCGACGTTTTTGTAGCGTCAAGTATCTTGAGTTTCGATTTCTCAGCATTTCCAAGGCATGGACGCTTTGCCACGGAGTTCGATTCGGAAACGTTATTGTTTTCTGTCTTCCGATCACGCAACGTGCACAAGGGACTTGGCCGTCGTGCCTTTCATCTCTGAGGACACTTTAAAATCTTTTATCGACGCAAATACGCATGAAGTCGTACTGTGTAGCGATAGACTGCTCCACGACAATACATGCAACTCAAGGTTAGCTTTTTTTTTCTTTTGCCATTACTGGCGAAAGTTTTTTTCGGTAGAAAGCTCTGTTTTGTTCTAAAGGAAACTGTGCCGTGGGCAATATTTGTAAGGCGTTACAAAGAGCTCAAATTTGTTTCAGATAGCATTGACTTCCGAGGGCAGTTGACGGATGTTGCGCTATTAATGAAGATTTGTTCAACCCCGGCAGAATAACTGCCTTGACTTCTCAAAACTACCCCCGAAGCTTCTTTGCACTAAACGAAATGTTTACCTCAATTGCAAAAAAAAAAAAAAAAAGAAAAGAGTTTGTGAAATGAAGTGGGCACCGCCCGTATTGCTCCACTCAACGTCCGCAACGTAAGTTTTCACCGCCGCCGACATCGAAGTTTCAGCCACTGACATGAACCGAAGTCGAACTCCACGTTCGATATAATCGAACGTGGCGTTCGACAAATAAGGCAGCGAAATCCCGGCTCCGTGAGTGTTGAGCAAACAGACACGTCGTCCGTGCTTGTTGTGTTTTCTATTCTACATGACCGAGCTTTGAATATTAAAGAATATTTTATCAACATACTTTCCTGTTTAGTTATAGAGGTGTTTTAGAAACCTCGTTTACCGATGTCAAATTAGGTGTATAGAAATCGCAGCAAATCAATGAGATGGCTCTCTTTGTTTCCAAAGTAATTATTATTTTTTTAAATATATGACAATACCAGGAGGGCTCTCTGGTGCTTTCAGCTTTTGTTGTTCACTGTTGACATACGAATCTTCAAATATGGCTGTTGGCGTAAGTGTTAAGCGAGGCTTTTTGCCTCGCTTAACAGCCATGGACTGGTCTGCATTCATTGAGCTAACTGCTCGGGCATCAAGAAAAACGCAGGCCGACAGTGCGACGCACATAGAAAAAGAACAATTTAAACAAAACAAAACTTTACAAACAAATTTGGTACAACTTCGTGAAAAGATTAGGGCCCAGTTCAATAGCTGTAAATGGCTTCACGCCGCGCGATAACGTCCGCATGTTTCTTCGCGTTGTCACCGATTGTTTTTGTCAAAAGCTGCGTCTCAAGTAAGAAATATAAATAAGAAAAGTTTTGAATCCTGTTCACGTTTGCGTTCCCGTCACGCACAAATCGAAGGCTTATCGCTGCATTCCCAGTGAAACGCAGCAACGCATTGGCATCACATCTCTCGCGCGAAGCCCGTTCGCTTGTTTACGTCGGGTCTTTGCCGGTCGGGTGACTGGTTTCGTTTTCTCGCCGCTACCAATATGGCGGACATAGCACTCGGTGCAGTACTAAATGGCGCTCTACATTTCGCATAAAATCTATTGCTTCCACGAAACTTGTAATATTGCGTAAATTATGTTCCCTTATAATTTCCTGTACTTGATTTAGCGGAAATTGTTATTTTACATAAATGTTTTGTGCTGGAATTTTTCCGTGATTGGTTTAACCGAACTTGCGAATTTACATAAATTTTTTAGTGAGAAACTGAAAATGTATGTTAAATAACAGAAAAATGAAAAACAGAAAACAGACCTTTATAGAAGTTTCCTCACAGGTCAGCTGCCAGACAATGTCTGGATGGACCCTTTGTAACGGGCAGTAGCTTGCGCCCCCTAGCCCAAGTCTAAAAATATAAACAAATGATTCCTCCCGCCCTTCTAAAACCAATTTTCTCCCCCTCACTATCACCATGAAGTGTGGGATATCACCAGGTTGACCATCGAGGGATCCGCAAAAAAACCAAGAACAACACCCCCGCCTCTTCCCCCCGGGAAGGAAGTCGCCAATTTTCCTCTGGTCAAACCTTGTCGGCGTTGCCCTAGCACCGCGACCAGCTGGGAGACAGGGTTGAGACTTTGGGCCGGAGTCACGCGAGAGGCAATCCTAATTTTCCTCTTTTCCGCCTGTTTACAGCTGTGCTTGTTACTTCTGTATCATTCAAGTTTCTTTTCATAATTTGCACCAATCTTCGAATCACCTGTTTCTGACTGTAACCCCCTTTTGTTTTGCGTCATTCCATCTTCGCCAGCAAAATCCAGAGTCCCGGCCAAATCCGTTATTCCTTCAGGAAGGCAGGGCAAAGCCCCGTGCACTCCGAAACCAAGTGCTCTAGCGTCTTGCCCTCATTATGGCAGGTGACCCATAATGGGTCTGTATCCTGAAATTTATTCCTAAACGTCTTCGTTCTCAACACTCACGTTCAGGCCTCGAACAGAAAAGAAATTCCCGTTGAATTGTCAAACAAATTTTCCTTTCTTCTGTCCTGTGTTTGTGACCTGTATATTGTTGGAGCTGAGTTTTTCGTGTATTCTTACCTCCCACACTTTCCTTTCTGCCTCTTTCACTCCCTTCTTTACTGTAGTCAGCTCAGCCCCATCACAAGTGTGTAGTTAGTTTAATGTAAGCTTTCGGGTTCGGTTTGTCTATTTTGTGTAGAAACTTTTCATGCGTAAATACTTCAATACCTTCTGTACCCACAACCATTTCGGTCCACCTTTGTTAAACTTTCAACTTACTTTTGCCTCCCTACTCTCAAAAGACGACCAACCAATGTCCCCCTGCATACTTCTTTCTATTTGGTGTCTTTCCATGTGCTCTTAGTGCCAATCTGCGTACTCCCCTTTGTCGAAGATCTAATCCTGATTGAACCTCTGATTTCATGCACACTACCGTATTGTTGAAATACGGTCATGGTACCATCACTCCTTTCCATATACTGCTGACCGGTTTATATATATTATATGTAGTTCCATAATGCCTTTTTTCATAACTTATGATTTTTTTTTTCCTTTTCTGACTATATTGTCCTCATGTTCCTCGAGCCACATGATTTATTACAATGTCGTTTATCTTCAGGGATTACCTCTTCTCCTCATTAAACACCATTACTCCAAACTTGTCACTACTAAAAGTCATGCCCAAGGTGTCACCTTCCTCTCCATATATTCCAGCTAGTTCCTGTAATATTCCTGGATATCTGTCATGAGTGCTATGTCGTCCGCATACATCAGTCCTGGCATTACCTCTATTACATTTCTCCCTCCTTCCATATGACTCACATCAGAAGCTAAGTTAATTTATTTTCCATTTCACTGAGATGTATCGTGAAGAGAAGAGGTGACAGTAGAGAGCCCGACGGTTAAGTTGTCTACCAGTCTTCTATCTCTTCAGAATCCGTTTCGGAGCTCACCCTGTATTTCCATCTCTTCTGTTTTCTTTTTACACAACTATTTTCTACAGTAAAGCCTACAAAGGCGTACAAATCGTTAAAAAGACAAAAAAAAATTTAAGTCGTTTACAATCCCCTATAACACCGAATTAGAGCGCAGCTCTTGAGGAAGAGGGGAAGCTACAAAGAGAGGGGTGTGCCCCTTCTCATCCGTACCCTCCTCTCCTCCTCTCCTGCTCGCCTCCTATCTAGGGGAAAACTTCCCGCTAAATTTATCGGGAAAAATTGCCACTAAATCTAGCCGGGAATATTTTCCGCTAAATATGGTGGGGAATTTTTTCCGCTAAAGTCAGCGAGAAAAACTTTCCGCTAAACTTAGCGGAAAAATTTTTCCGCTCAATTTAGCGGGTAAAAGTTCAGTGGTAGTATTAAGAAACAAGACATTATATTCCTAATACTTCGAGTGTTGTATATTCTGTTCCAGTACTATGCGCAAAGCATTAGTTTCCAGCTTTGCGTGTTAATTAGTTATACCGGGTGTTTTTGCGAAGACTTTCAAAAATCCTAAAAATTAGGGCGATTGAAAAAAGAAGAAACTCTCTTCGGGAACAAACTACCAGCCACGGCGGACGTCAGGAATTGCCAAGAACCTATAATTAGCCAGATAATTAATTAAAACTTGTTAATTAACTTTTTAATTAGGGGAAATAGACATATGGTTCCAATTAGAAAGTTGCTGAGCGTTATCGAAAACAACTAAATCAGTCATTTTTAGAAAGACTTTGAGCGCGTGAGACGAGTAGTAGCGCACTAAAGTTACCACTCGTGGAGCAGGTACAAGGCTAGCGGTTGCGATAAGGCGCCCGCGCGATTTTTCCGCCTCTTATCTAACCCCAGCCTTGTACCTGCTCCACGAAGAGTAATTTTAGTGCGCTACTACTCTTCTCAAGCGCTTAGAGTCTTTCTGAAAATAACTGATTTAGTGGTTTTCGATAACGCTCAGCAACTTTCTAATTGGACACATATGGCTATTTCCACTAATTAAAAAGTTAATTAGCAAGTTTTAATTAATTATCTGGCTAATTAGTAGGTTCTTGGCAATTCCTGACGTCCGCCGGGGCTGGTAGTTTGTTCCCGAAGAGAGTTTCTTCTTTTTTCAATCGCCCTAATTTTAGGATTTCTGAAAATATATATATATATATATATACATATTTATTTTATATCTTAGAATTGTGTTTGCATTACTCGGTCTATCTTATACTTTTCTAAAATTTTACATTATTGAAGCTTGTTGCTATTGAAAGGCCTTAGTGATTTTATTATTTCGTATATTTTTTTTAGTAGGCCGACTTGTAAGCAACATAAATAAACCTGCAGACAATTAAGACACTACAGGTGCAGCACGTGATTAAGGACTCTAAATTAATAAAATATAGTATGCTTCCAGTAGTTTTGTTTTTGTACAAAAAGGAGCCCCGCTCTCTTATTCCAAGGTAAATTCACATTTTTATTTCTGATTACACGACAAATAACAGGCTGACAAATTTTGAAGTATGTAAAACCCACACTGCTCGCAAGAAGACCCCTGCAGGTCTACCGCCAAACGATATGAACACACGCAGGAGCTCGAGTATTTCGTTTAAACCCCCTCCACAGCTATGACGCACGTGGTGGTTTCGATCACCTGTGATGTATCTTCCGATGACTGTTTAAATTGCTATGGGCCGCAAACGCTCTAGTGCAGGTCTCACATCTATACGGCTTCTCTCCGGTGTGAGTCCTCTCATGATTCGCCAAGTTGGTTTTCCGAGTAAACGCCTTGCTGCACGTGTTGCACTTGAACGGCTTCTCTCCGGTGTGAATTCTTTCGTGATTCGCCAAGGTGCGTTTCAGAGTAAACGCCTTGCTGCACGTGTTGCATTTGAACGGCTTCTCTCCGGTGTGAGTTCTATCGTGAGCCATCAAGCCAGACCTTTTCGCGAACGTTTTCTCGCAGACACCGCAACTGAAGGGCCTCTCGCCAATGTGAGTCCTCTCGTGGATGGCGAGACTCGCCGCGGAAGAGCTTGAGTGAGGACACAAGCGGCTCGGGTGCTTGTCCGGTTGTCGGTGCGTTTGCGGCTTTTGTGGGTCCGACCAGTTGATCTCGGGAAAGGTGTCACCCTTGCGGCTGTCACGGTAAAAGATGTCCACTTCGTCGTTATGGTATGCTTATATCCAACCTGCTGGAATGACTCGACAAAACAAGAAAGGTCAGAGCTAGATGAACATGGCCCTGTATACCTACTTTGTTTGCGGTGCGGTTTAAAGTAGGTATTCATTCATTTCAGATGTTGAGAAGTCTCAATCGCGGTGGTGATAAAGGTCTACAGGTGATCGTCAAAGACTCGACTCTGGCAGCCCAATGGTGGGGCAGCTGTGGTAACTTGCACGTTCTGCTAACCAAGTGCAGAAGGAAACTCAAGCCGCCGCGGTCGCCGCTGTACAGTGTTGGCGGTAAGATGTTACAAATAACGTCGCTAGCGGTAATGCGTTACTTTTTTCAGTAACGTAATAACGTAGTCGTTAGTTTCCCAGACAGTAACGGGTAACGTACTTAGCAGGGTGACCATATTCCTCAAGATAGGAAACGGGACATCCTAGCCTGGGGAAGGGGGGGGGGGGGGGTACTAAAGATTGAGATTGGGAAAACAAATTTCTACACACGACTCTTCGCGATAGAAAAAAAAATGTTTGTGGGCAAGAACAGTTCTCTAATTTTTACTCTGGGTAAATATTTTAAAGTTAAAGTACCCACTGGTATTTTTGTAAAATATACTTGTAACGAGTACACATCGTTTCGGTTTACTTCAACTCGCTTTGTGCCAACTTCGAAACCACGCACTGGTGCGAAAACGGGACAGGAATCTTTATTGGGAAAAAAAGACAGGACGGCAAAAGCGAACCTCAAAAACGGTACTTTCCCGGCCAAAACAGGACGTCTGGTCACCCTAGTACTTAGGTTACTTATTTTGAGTAACGGGTAACGAAATTAGCTTACTTGGTACACCTACCAAACACCTGGAAAAAGTACACATTTTTTGCGCGTTTTAGAGCGCAGCTCTTAGGCGCCCGTTTCCGGCTTGAGCGGCGTCGCCGTCGCCGTCGGCGTAACCGCACGGTGCATTATGGGCAAATTTTCGCGCCAAATCTAGCGAGAAAATTTCCCCGCTAAATCTAGCGGGAAAATTTCCCCGTTAAATCTAGCGGAAAAGATTTCCTCGCTAAATCTAGCGGAAAATTTTCCCCGCTATATCTAGCGGAAAAAATTTCCCCGCTAAATCTAGCGGAAAAATTTCCCCGCTAAATCTAGCGGAAAAAATTTCCCCGCTAAATCTAGCGGGAAAATCTCCCTGCTAAATATAGCGGAAACAATTTCCCCGCTAAATCTAGCGGAAAAAATTTCCCCGCTAAATCTAATGGGGAAATTTTGGTCACGTGACCTGGGGAGTCACGTGATATCCCGAGGTCACGTGACCCCTCCCGAGGTCACGTGACCTCGTAAGGGGGCACGTGACTCCCCCACGTGACCCCACCAAGGTCCCGTGCCCTCGGAAGGGTCCCGTGACCCCCCCCCCCCCCCCCCGAGAACACGTGGCCCTCAGTACCCTTCTTTCCTCCCCCTCAAGAGCTGCGCTCCAATTCGGCATTACAGGGAGTTGTAAACGGCTTTCACTTTTTTATACTTCGTTTTACCTTACGTCCAGACGAAGCCGCCGCTACAAGCTGATGGTACCAATCCGAAAGAGTGAAAAGGGCGCCATCATTGTGTTCGCCGTGTCTCTGGGCGTGTTCTGTCATCGCTGAACCAATCATGAAGAAAAAAGGCCCAGTGACTTGCGCTTTTGATGCAGCTATAATGGTCCCATTAGCTTGTAGCGTCGGCTGTGTCTGGAGTTAAGCTGAAACGTAGTGTGTTATCCAAGTCATTCTTATTGCACTCATTCCACATATTTTCAAACATTTTTCCTACCCTTTCCCCACGCAAAATGTTCCACTTCGGAAAAATCCCAAAGCCAGGGCCCATTATCCCAGTGTCAAAAAACGCTGTTGCAAAAACACACACACACACACACACACACAAACACACAAACACTCAAACACACACACACACAGAAGCGCTGCTATCGTCAATTTATAAATAAAAAATGCCGCAAAAGCACTCTAAAAAAAAAGGTGTCGATTTAACTCTTTTTGGAGTGTAACTGGCTTGTCACAGAATCCACTCTTTTAAAGAGTAACTATAACTCTTCGGAGGCAAGTGTATGTTTAACTCTTCCATACAAGTGTTCATTTAACTCTTCTATAGAGAGTCACGCCAATACCTTTGAGAGAGTCAGGGCTACTCTTTTGATTTGTAAGTGTAAGTGTTACCTTCACTCCTTTCTGTAGAGTAACTATAACTCCATGACAAGTGTTGCCTAAACTCTTTGATGAGAGTAAATTTCACTTTTTTGTGTAGAGTGACTATAACTCTATCAGAAGTGTTGCCGAAACTCCTTGTTGACGAGTGAAGGATACTCTCCAGGAAGGGTTACCTTCATTCCTTCGTGTAGGGTAACTACAACTCTATTACAATGTTGCCTGAACTCTGTATTCAAGAGTTACGCGTACTCGCCAGGAAGAGTTACCCTCACTCCATCGTGTAGAGTAGCCACAACTCTATTAGAAGTGTTGCCTAAACTCTGTATGCAAGAGTTAAACATGTTCTCCGCGAAGAGTTGAATCCACTCGTTTGTGGAGAGTAATGACAACTCCATTAGAAGTGTTGCCTGAACTCTATATTTAAGAGTTAAGCACGCTCTCCAGGAAGGGTAGCTTTAACCTTATTGTGGAGTAAATACAACTCCATTTGAATTGTACCTTGAGTCCGTATTAAAGAGTTAAATCTGCTCTCTACCAAGAGTTAATGTCACATAGCAGCACACTTGAGCAGTTTGTATGACCCCTCCTTAGATAGTACTTAACTCTTTAATACAGAGTTTAGGCAACACTTGAATGGGATTGTAATTACTCTACAGAAATAATTGTGTACAGTAAGTACAGACCCATCTGATGTGTTCCCTAAACTCTTTATAAAAGAATTAGCACCCTCTTCAGGAAACCCTAAAATCTAAAAGCAGCTATGTACAGGTTCACAAGGAGATGGGTGCAAAGGAAATGTGGAACGGCAGCTGAAAAATGAAAAAATATAAAGCATGAGCCTGCACAGAGGCTATAGGTTCTCATAAAAAGTCAGCACTGAAATAAAACAGTAGAATAGATTTTAATAAACCAAAATTTTAATTTCAGCACATGGCAAAAAAGGCAAAACCAACACACAAATTTCCTCTGGCTAACAGTTTTTTTTTTAACTTCGTGATCAAGTCTAAAGCCAAGACGGACTTTATTTGTACTTCAAACTACTGAAGTGCCCAATCACTGCGAGTGACTGGCTTGCTTTTTGACGGTAAGAAATGTCGTCGACTCCGTGCGATGCAAGAACGAGCGCTGCACCAGCCCGTCACCTCAAAGGAGTGGTCCTCCAACACCACAGTTATGGCACTTGAGTCCTCTTCGTCAATTCTCGTCACCGGATAGGTCGATCGGCCGTGTCCCTCCTCCTGTGAAGAATGAATGCTTAAATGCAGAGTCAGCAATATTAAAAGAGAGGAAACAGCTCGCGAAGTGCTTTTAGTTAATACCAGTGCACTCATTTGCGAGACAATAGACCATTTTCCAAAAACCCAGGAGCCATTCATAGGATGCGCTCCAATAATTGGCTGGGGCTCGCTTTCTTGCCGATTGAATAAGAGTCCCAACCGAACACTAAGGCAGCACTGATTGCTAGCTCGCTCAGCCGCAAAAATCCAAAACCGTTCGTATCCCCTGCTATGAACACCTAAGAGAAAGATAAACCACACCCCTCGCTCTCTCTCTAATTGTTTCCTTTGTATGCAATAGCAGCCATAAGAGGTTGCATTCATTTATGGTATCCTCAAGTTTGCACCCCATCAGAAAAAGGGGGCAAGGAGAGAAGGCAGTTCCCCTCCCCCTTCTCCCTGACTTTTGGAACAATTATAACAGGCAATATGGGAGTGAGGGACAGAGTTTAGCTTCCTTGCACATCACTCCTCCACCTTCCAAACAGTAGCAAATCAGCTGGCCTCTGCCCATAGCGGTGCAAGACATAGCTTTATTATATAGACACTAGACTGAGGGGTAGGACAAATGCAATTTCTTAACATCTGCATTTGTCCAAGTGGCATACAATATGGTAGGAAAATTTTTATAGATAAATTAGTGTAAACAACGTATTGCGTTTAAGTGCGGACTGCCATATATTATAGTTTATTTCACAACTTTAGAAAGGAAGCTAACGAATGCAAGTAACATCTAAGTTTGGGGAGACCAATCATTAAATATTGTAACTACAGCTCTACAAGGGGATAATTCGCCATAAAGTACCATTGAACCTTAATAAAGAAAAAGTTGTACCTACTAAAATTCACGAATTCTAAACAAAACAAAACAAGAAGAAAAAGAAATTTAAAAGTAGGCCATACCAAGAACATACAAATTAAAATTGGCGAGTATTAAAATAACTGATAAATATGCTACATGTCAAAACGGAACATGCATCGCGGCGAGCTTAAGTTCTACTACAACCGACACTACTAGAAAGTCAGCGAGCTGCTCATGTGTGCCAATTCATCGTGCTGCTGCGCAATAGATGTGGGCTCTACGTTTTTTATTGCATGCGGATGAACTGGTTGCACCACTCTGAATGCAGGGGCAGGCACATGCATTGAAAGGTCGAATTTAGAGCTCTTTTTTTTTCCACATAGTAGAAAGGTTAATCTATAAATTGCTTAGCCCTACTCTGGCAGCATCACAGCGTCTCTCAATCCTTCATTTAAACTTAAAACATGTTTATTGCAATCTCGACATTTAAGTTCACACCTATATTTCTACATTGATTTGAAAGAAAAAACGAAACAGTTTTAAGGAATTGCGGTGTTTGCGGCGCAGAAATACGTAGTTATAAATGTACGCATATTGGGGGGGGGGGGGGGGGGGGCCTCTATATTATTTACAAGTTATAAATCAAATTGCTGGCCTCCCCTTCAGCTCACCAGTGTCAAATGTACTTTTAAATTATCAGTCCAATAAATACCCTGTTATACAAACAA